AAGGAATCAAATTTCCCATTACCAAATATGATGTTCCATTCTAAAAAGGCAGGCACCTTAGATTTCTTGTCAACTCGTAAGGTTTACTGGGAGCGCCTCGGCAGTTTAAATACCTATGAATACTTACCCGGCGTACTATTAATCGTGATAATTGATTCCGTATATACTCTTGATATAATATTTCTCAAAAATTTATATGTGTATTATGGCAAAGCTTTTACTAACACCCTATTCTGCGTCCATCGTGGTTTCGGTATAACATCCGAAAATATATGGGAGCTATCACATATAGGGGTTTTTATAATCTTTAACGATTCCTCGAACCTGTTCAACGATTGTATTTTTACAGTCTCGCAATTAGGTTTAAATCACTTGATACATTTTGTAGTACCCTATAAGCCATTGATCAAATATTGGAAAATTCCCAAACATGTATTCGCGAACAAAAACAAAAAATACACACTGATTTTTCCTCTCTCCGATATTTCGTATAACTCCAGTTTGTGTCTAAACTCTCAAATGTCGCATATCGACTTGGACCTTATATTGATTCAAGAAGGAGATCCTAAAAATAATTTGACAATTCTACAAAATAGTATAACTAACAATTTAAATGAATTTGACCAAGGATCCTACCCTTATTATTTAACATGGGTTAATTGTTTATCTAAGTTATTTTACATTTATAAAACTAAAACTTTCGAAGATGGTAACCAAATAATTTTGAGTTATATAGAAAAGAATATATTATTTCAAAGTTTTTAACTATTTAACGAATCCCTTACCAATAAATATTTATTTTGATAAATCTATTAAATTTATTTTATAAGTGCAAAATTTTCGCAATCGTAAATATATAATGCAATGTTACTAATTTATGTTATATCAATATTTGTAGATATGATTCAACAAAATGTATACTACAATTTAATAATAATAAATTACACAATAGATATATATCTGATAACGTGTATAATGGCCGTTAAGATGCAAAAATATTTATGAAGGCAGTTAAAGATGAATTGGTAGAGCAAAAATTGAATCAAATAACAATCTTAATTATATATTTAATACAGAAATTTGTAAGATAAGGCCACTTCCCGACATGTCGTTTTTTTCAAGGTTTCTTATAGTACACTTATTCAGTAAAAAAAAAATTATATAGTAAAATAATTTGTCGAATAAATTTTTTTTTGTATTTTAAAAAATTTTAAAAGGCGTTACCCAGACGCCATTTAACTATAATAAATTATGAATGGAGTTTTAGTACCATCGATTGGGGTTAAAATTTTTAATCACACCTGCAACAATTTTATATTATTTTAAAGAAATAAAATTATGACAAAAAATAAAATATTAAATTGGTCATTTTGTAAAGATTACTTAAAAAATTACTTAAAATAATATTTTACGATATTGTTCACTCGAGTGATTTTGAATTCTTTAGGATTTCATACCATTATGACTAATGATGCTATAGAGAAAATGCTCTTTCACAAATTTCTTATAAAATTTCATCATTTATAGTGCAGAATCTAGAAAAATAATTCTCCAGGAAAAAATCCCCGTTTTTTAACATATTAAAAATGAATATAATATTAGAAAAAATTCTAAAAATCCTCAAATAATATATTTAAAAATTTTGAGAAAATCAATTCCGGAGAATTATTTTCTAAATTATTGGGGATTTTTTTTCCAAGGAATTAATTTCGCTTACAGTGCACTCAAATTGAGCGTTTACGTTTTGCCCTAATTTTTTAATAATATCTATTGCTTAAATTGTAGTTGCCTTTTTATCAATATCGTCGATTTAAAATTTTAAATATGTTCTAAAAAAAAGATTTGTTTTTGAAAGTTATAATATCGTATGCCTTCTTATTTCTTTAATTTCTAAATATTTTTAGGATATAAGTAAGTTATTTATTTTCCATTTTATATAATATTAAAAAGCAAACCTATTTGTGTTTTTTTAAAATGGTTGCTAGCGCCAAAAGGTAATATCAATTTGCACGAGGCCATTTGAAATGCATTATTTGCGCTTGCAACGCAGAGTTTAAAACTCTCAATTTGTGTGTACTATTATACTTTTGTTGCGTCAGTTATTTTCTTCCTGTTACTTTTTTATTTTCGGACTAGCCGTTTTCTTTAATAGAAACATAGTTGTGAAATATCAAAATTTTGGGAAAAGATTATAGAACTAATAAATTGCTTAGCCATTTATCGTAATACGGAAATAAATAGTAAGAAATAGTCAGCTCCTATATGATCGCAAGGGGATAGGAGTTATTTGATTCCTTTGTTTACAGAGAAAAATAGGGGTAGGCATTCAAGGGAGTAGGATAGGGCAAAGTATGAAAACAAGTAACAAAATAATTGGTAATAGGATTTTTTTTTTATTTTAATGGTGAAGTAAATTTTTTAATCATACTCCACATATTAAAACAGTTTTACTTTTATATACACTTTAAAAAAAGTAAGCATTATCGTTACTTGTTACCTTGAAAAAAAGGAACAAGTTCTATTCAAATAAAAGTAGCGCGTAAAAAACACTAAATACTATGTATAAATTTTATTTTTTTCTCCATAGATAAAAAAAATTATACAAAAAATAATATATTGTAAGGTGAGTTCTTTTAGTGATAATTTTTAGTTATTTTTAACAATAATTGATTTTCAAAATTTACAGATTAACAAGAGCGTTTAGTACTCAACATAGCTTTCGATGTGGTAGACACATGATCAACTGGTGCTGAAGATGAGAGGATTGTATTATAGTTAATAAATAAAAATTTTAATTGGGGGAATTTATTAAAAATATTTAAAGAAGTACTTTATTTTTTAAGAAATCTTATTAGATTTAATAGGAATTTTCATTGCGGATTCCCTTTATCATTATCATAAATTAAATTGTTATATTTTTACTTTAATATGTTATTTTTAGACTTGAGCTGCTGGATATCGAACTTTGCCCTTAATTTTTTTTTATTTGTGTAAAAAATGTTTCATACCGGGGATAGGGCAGAGTTAAATCAATTTTACTTGAAAAAATGATTACTATTGATTGCCTTGATTGATTCCATATTAATTATATTAACAATCTAGAGAGTATAAAATTCAACAACATAATAAATAAAATAAAAATGAAGAACTTTGGTTGTCAATCTGAATTAAAAATTCATCTTAAATTATTTATAAAATTAAAAAGATATGTACAATAAAATAAAATATATCTTTTCCATATTTTTTAAGAAAAGATTTAAAGTAACGTTTTGTGTTACCGTTACTAAATAAAGAAACTATTAATGAATAGCAGTTCTTTTCTCAAAAAATGAGGTTAATTTCATAGACGTTACCTTACACCACTAGTAACGACCATTTGATTTATACCAACCAATTAATTGTCATTTCTAAATTATGATGCCAGGAAGGCATTCGATTATGCTTTTGCTGAATTAGTTCAATTTCTATTGATAATATTTATAAATGATAGCCTAAGGAATTTTATATTAAAATTATCTATTTATTATAGTATAATGACTGGTAGAATATTGTGCCACTAATAGGATATGATTTTACAGGGGAGGGATGGAGAAGGGGTTACTTAAATATTTTATCACCATTCTGTAACTTCACAAATAGGCTTTTTTGGTAATCTATTATTATTCATTTATATTATAATAAGAACATATTTTCATTCTTTAATTATATTGTATGTGCTAAGCACATCGCCGGGGTGGCTTAGTGATGGGTGATGAGGCTTGTAAACCAAAGGTACCACGTTCAATCCTGGAAAGGAACTAAAAATTTTTAGGTTATTCTGATGACGGGTGGCTTTAGGCATATGATATGATAGATTTCTGAACTGAAAAAGGCCACCCAGCTGAACTCGTGGGTCAGATGAAAACCATTTCTTGGCCAGCGCTAGGATGATGGGATGATGGTGACCTCGGGGGCCGTTCAAGCTCAATGACTACTAAGTTAAAATGGACTTGAAAACGATACTCCGGTGGGAGATCCATCGGGATTGATACTCCAGTGGGAGATCAGGATTGGGATATTTGTCAATGATTTGATAATTCGGTGTGAGGAATACTCTGGTCCTGGTAGGATATCTGATCGATAATGATTTTGATACACCGGTGGGAGATCAAGATACTTTGGCCTCGATAGAGATACACCGGTGGGAGATCAAGATAATTTGGCCTCGATAAAGATACACAGGTGATCGATACAAAATGAAATCGATCAGAAATACAAATATAGATTAGATAAAAATAGAAATCATGTGTAATAATAATAAAATGGAGATAGATAGAAGGAGATTACCACCAGAAAAGGCGAAAGCTAAAAGGAAAAATAAATATATGCTAAGCACCTTATGATATGTGTGCATAATAAACGTTATAATAAAATATTCAAGGGAGTATAAATTTTTTTGAATTTTGGATTTATAGAAAAAATCTTTAGAAGGGTAAGTGTATAAAAGTTTTTAGGTAGTAGAAGGAAGGAGGAAATTTTTTTCTTCTTGATTATATCCAGAGATGTTTAAGAATGAATGGAACGATTTTTCCAAATTATACATTTAATAAATATATCTCAGTGTTTAAAATTTATGGGTAATTTTTTTTTCTTTTTATAAAATATATATACTATCTCTGCTCTATAAAAAGCTAAGATATTTGAATATTCTTTTTTTTTAGGTATGCATTCACTATAAAAGTCAGAGCATTACTTTTCTGTTATTTGAACATGTTTTCTATAGGATAATCAAGATATGTTGGCGATACTCTCGCCATAAACCAAATCAAATTATCTTAATATAAATTAATAATAAAATTTTATTCATAGCAAAATTAATTAATTATATTTGTCATTGTTAATCATATTAAAATATGAATTAAAATTATCTTTTGTATTCTCAAAGTCAGTGGATCTTTTATTGTTTAAATATTCGATTAATTTTGTTTAACCTAACTTTAAAATTAATAATATATGATTCTCGAGGATACTTTAATTTAAATGTGGATCCATCATATGATATTGATTCTGGCTTTGATTTTTTTAAATTTCATATCTATATCAAGTAATTGTTAATAAAAATACATAACAATACAAAATTTTAAGCTCAGGAGAATTTGTCTCGTCCAGGTATTACAAATCAATACAACCTTCTTACAAGTCAAAAAGTTGCAATTAAACCTATAAATAATGTACTTGATGATAACAAACCTGGTATGTTTGATATTCAGAAAAATAGTTTTGTCCAACATAATTTTAATAAAATAAAAAGTAAAATAAAATCAATATTTATGAATATTTCATATGTTTAGATTTATATAATGAGCCTTTTACTTATGGCAATCCATCAAAACTAGTTTATGTTTTAATTTTTTTGTTTTTGAGTTTTGTAATATATTTTATGTGCTGTCGTAAATCAAAAGTAAAATTAATTTATATTATCTTAAATTTTCTTATATGCTAGCATGATGACAACAGAAAAAGATCCAGATTAAATATTTTCAGACGGGTAAATTATTCATTAAATAAACATTAGTGGAGGCTCTCCTTTTTTAAAGGATAATTAATTAAATGATTGTAGGCAATATTATGTTAAAAAAAATTATAGTTAGAATCTTATATGGTATGAGATTATTATTTGGACCACTGAATATCTTAGTTATAAAGGGTAAGGAAAATTTTCAGTCTCTTAATTATTCATATCTTGGTAAACTAGTTCTATATATTTTATTTTATACTCTTAACTTTATAGTGCAATAAAATTGATAAAGGAATTAAAAGTTTAAAATGATAAAAAAAACAATTATAGGAATGAGAAGAATTTTTTTTATATAAATCTGAATTTTTAGCATCAATATTAAGACATTCATTTAAATTTCATACAAGGTTGGATTATCTAAAGAGATATAATTTAGAAGTATAATAGTAAAAAGTATAAAAAGAAAATTGAATTCTAAAAACAATTTTCAAGAATAATATAAAAAAAAATCTTATACCTTACATTATTGTTGTTGTGCTACTAATATTGTATTATATTTTAATAAATATATAAACTGATTTCTCTACTATTTAATGTAAAACATCAGACTTGTGATTAGCAATTTTCAAGGGACATTTTTTTTACAAAGAAATATTGAAAAATATGTTTATTTTTTTTTATCTTGGAATGATCTTTTGTCATTTTAAATTTCATATAAGTTTATTAGAGTTACAAAAAATTGTAAAATAAATAGGGATGTAAAAAACAAAATTTTCAAATGTAGTAAACAGTGGGAAAAATATGCTTAAATTTTATTTTAACAAAATCTTGAAACACTCTTCTTGTATCTTTTTTTAAATTTTGGAAAGTATCTTGTATCCAGTATCTAAGATACATATTATTTAAAAGTATTTGTATCTCTACCAACTTTGTATTCAAAAAGATACAGATACTTTAAAAAAAAATTTTATTAGTTAATTTTAATAGTATTAAAATTTAAAATAATGTTGTTTTAAAATTTAAATGAAATTTAATCAGAATTTAGATATTTTACGATAATTTATGATATGTGACGTTGGTCGTCATATAGCATTGCTAACAATTAGAACTACCATATTTTATTTGAATCGTTTTATATCCGTCTATTTTAAAATAATGGAAGAAGAAAATAGAATAATATGTTTATATTCATCTTCAGATGATTCTCCAACCGAAAAATATAACTTTTAAATTAAGTATTATAAATGGGAAATTTTTTCAAGTACTTTAACATGATCATAATAAAATTACTGCAGAATTTAAAGAATGCCACAAATCTATAAGTGGTTCTGTGGACTCTTCATCAAATTTTGCCAAGCATCTAAAAGTATAATATATAATTATATAATAAATCACATTTATAATCATATTCATTATCATATCATATTTCCACATTCGTTGTCTGTGCCATACGATAAGTCTTATTGCCACAACAGATGTCGAGAAAGCTATTAAAGATTCTCCTAACATTTCTAAAATTCATCATCACGCAATTGTCAAATATACTAAGCTATGGAATGCTAGTAATAGGCCTAAAACTGCAGAACTTATCAAAGCAGTTTTAGGAAAACAATTTGTTACACCTTGCTGCACAAGATGGAATAGTATGTTTGATAGTCTTAGTAGTTTATTAAAATTTAAAGGCGAACTTCCTAAATTATTTCAAAAATTAGAATTTCCAAAATTAAGAGATATTGAAATTCAATATTTAGAAGAATATTGCAATATAATGTCCCCATTGGCTATAGCGATTGACAAAATACAAAGTGAAATTAACTGCTATTATGGAGAATCCTCCAATATTAAATGTCGTTAAAAAAACAAATTTAATTCAAACTAAACCATTAGCTATTGCCGTAGAAAATTCTTTAAATAAAAGATTAAAAAATATATTTAATTTTTATAATAACTTTAAAAGCGCATTTTTTGCAACTATTTTGCATCCCTATTTTAAAAATCGTTGGATTGATGGTGAAAAAGAAAAAAAAACCTTCAGGATTTGTTAATATAATTTTTAGAAGTACCACATCCAATTCTAATAATTCAATAAATGATATTGAATTAGAGGTCCTAAATTATATGAAAGAAGACAGGCGTAGTATAAATTAGTTAAATAGTTATAAATATAAAGAAATATTTATTAAATATAACACAATATTACCCTCCTCTCTGCCCCCGTTGAACGATTATTTAGCTTTGCTAATATGGTTAATAGACCAAATCGTCAAAGATTGAACTATAAATTATTTTAAAAATTAATAATATTAAAAAATAATTCTGATATATGATGCTGATTTATTATTATTAACTAATTATGCAATTATTAAAAAAAATATCGCATTATCTTTTATAAAAAATTTGTTATTTTCTACAATTTATTTTAATTTTTATAAATTTATATTATAGATAAGAAAATAAAGCTTTATATATTTTGATTTTGACAAAAAATTTTAAAAAAGTATCTTGTATCTTAGATACATTTCTAAGAAAAGATACAAGTATCTTGTATCTTATATCTTATTGAAATTTTTCTAAAGTATCTTGTATCTTAAATATAAAATTTTATAAATTATCTGTATCCGAATACAATTTTCTGAAAATTTGCCCAACCCTGGTTATTAAATGGTGGTGATAATGAAAGCTTTGCGATAAAATATTGGCAAGATTTACTTTCATAAAGATTGTAGTAGTAATATAAAAACAGAAAATTCCCCACAATTCTCCCTAAATGGTTTTTTTTTCTTAGAAATAAATCAAATATTAACTTTCTCTCCAATGATAATATAAGGGACACTTTTTCTAATATCTTTCTTTAATTCTACTAATAAAAATATTAGAGGCACTCTTTTCTAATTATTAACGTTTCTCAAATAATTTCACTAAAAATACTAGAACTCCCAATATTAATATTTTAACAAATGATTCTTTTAATATTATAGATGTTCTTTGTTTCTCTACAATTATTCACAATAATAATAATAATAAGATGTGCTTATGTTTTGGACAACAAAGTTATAATTTAGAAAAATTTTCTTCAACATAGGTCAAACTCTATTCATTTATTATTAAATAAACTACCCTATGTTTAGAATACCCCTCTTTCTAAAATCTTAATCTAGAAAACAGCAACAATTGATGTAGAGTTTTGGCTTACAAAGAAAAATTCATTTCACACAAATAATATAAGCTCTAAAATCATTGATTTTCTAGTTTATAATAATAATTTTTTAAGGGCTTTTAGCCACATTTTTGTAATGCCTGAAAAACTAAAAAAAAGTTATTATCAATGTTAATAAAAACATGAAATGGCGTTTTTTTGCATGGTGCTATTAACAATATCAAAATGATCTATTTTTACAATTTTGGACGCTTTAATCTTAGTCAATAATAAATTTTATATCCATAAGCACTAATAACATTGTTTATAAGGCGTTTCTAGATAGGTTCTTATACTTATTTATCTTAATATCTTTGAGATTGAGAAATAAAGTACGATTATAAATATGATTTAATATCAGTATAAAATAAAAATGTAAGGTGTATGTAGAATAGGCAGGTTACCCATTCACGATTAGCGCAAATTCGTGGCAGTGAATACAAAAATACAGCTATTTTTATAAAATGTATGAAAAAATTTTTGATCCGCCGGGTTTTCTAAAAATGGGCTTATCCTACTACAGGGCTGAATAATTTTTTTAAAAAAACCTTTAAACTTATTTGATAGTTTTTTTGAAAAAGAAAAATGCGTTTAAAATTTTTAAACTTTACAAAATTAATTTTTTTTTTTAAATCAATCCTTTTCCGAACTATATTATAGGAGTATTTTCATTGGGAAAATATAAATCAATATAAGATATAAGTAATTCTTAGATCTTTAGTATTAGCTAAATTTAAAGTTATAAATTGTTTGATAAATATGCTTAAAAAGTTTAATATTTATATTTTAAAAAAAAATAATAAAGTTTGCAGCCTATTTGATCGAGGGTAGGAAAGATCAGATCCAAAAGAGAAGACCAAATCCTCAATACCAACAATTGATAGAAAATTCAGAAACCTTATAGAATTTTTTTTTATATATTTTTATAATTTCAGTATAAAATGCGTTTTGAAAAGGGTTCTCGGGATATGTATAATGGATCAAATTAAATTAACCTGTCAAAATTAAATAGATCTCTAATACCCTATTTGTGTCAAAATCTATTCGGCTCAATTTTTTTAAAATAATCTATAAATAGTCCGCACTAATTATATCATATAATTTGATAATTTTATGAAATTGTTAATGATATCAATGAGCATTGCATAATTACATCCTTATATACATATTTTATATTCAACCTTATTTTTTTCTTATCGGGATTTTATATTTATACCTACCTCTTGATTCTAAAATTTATTCCCCTTATAATTAATTTTTATTCTATACTCCACTGTTTCTCATTATTTTAAATATTATTCCAAATTTTTTTAGCAAGGTTTAAATGTGTAAATTTATTATGTTTAGAAAATTTGTATATTTAATTTAAATTTGTATGATATGAGTTTAATCGTTTAGTTTTATAGTATTCTCGAAAATCTAATTAATAACTAAATAAAAAGTTTATTTATTATCCGCAATTTAAACTTAAAATAACATTTAGATCGATTCTGTTTCTTGTATTTCTGATTACTAATGCAACTAAGTCCTATCTCAATATTTAATTTCTAAACATATCTAAAAACACTTTAAAAAATAACCTTAGCAGCCTTTGTATATGGAGCTTGGGTTATTTTTTTATTTATTCACTTCTAAGATCAGATTCATCAATTTGGTGCCTATTATATATTTATAATGAAATCCACCTCTTGGCTACAATATATGTATTTATCTAGATATGGAACTTTAAATTATTTTTTGTGTCGTTTTACCGATCTAATTTTTTTTTCTCAACCATTAATATGTTGAAACTTTATATCTTGAGCTTTGAACACCTATTATCGGATCTGATTGTCCCATCACATCTATTCTTTATATCATTATAGTTGTACTCTTTTCAATAGCTTTTAGTATTATGTAGGCCATCCTAATTCTTTTATATCTATCACATTCCCTCAAATCAACTTCCTCAACCCGCATTTCTCTTGCCATAGTTTGTCCTTTACATGCCATTGACATGTTCCTATCCGCTTTTTTTTATTGCGGACTTTGTATACTTCACCGCTAATTCGCGCTAACTGTGAACGCGGGTTAAGTCTCTCAACAATTCTCTTGAATGACTGTTCTGAATCATATCTTCACATTTAAATTCTGTCTCTTTTCAATTGATAGAGATGTTGGCCGAGAAAACCGAGCAAATATTAAGATAATCGTACCATTTTAAAGCCTATTACTCCTTAATTAATACCCTTTGAAATAAACTTCTATTTATTTCTTTGCAATATAATATTTAACAAAAGCCCGGCTTGGATAAACTTTTAAAAAATATTGGGCTGGACTCGGCATAGATAAAGATTTAAAAGTCAAATTTATAAGGCTATAAGTAACCAATCTTGATTTACCTTACTAAATTTATTTTCGTTTCTTGTAAACATGAATATTCAATTTTAAACCAACTCAGAGCTCCATTTTTTTTTATGTGCCTATTTTAAAAAATCCAAGGTAACAAACATAATGTTTGGTAATCGGATATCCAATACACATAGACTTTCAATCAGACTATTTAAATTACTTGTAATCTAGGGTTTACAAAAATAAACTAAAAATCGAAAAAATAATTATTTTCAGTTTATTTTAATAAATCTAAAAACATATCTTGAAACTTTAAATTTGTGACCTTTGACAAAATACTTCATACATGTCCTCCTATTTTGTTAATTGGATAAAGAAATATAGCACATTTATTTTAAAGTAGTTAGGTAATATAACATTAAATTATAATTAAACATTAATAGCTTATAACTATTATAAGGTATTGTATCAATTTTTTTAAAAAAAAGAATATAAGTAATTAGTACAATTCTCGACTTCATTCTACCGCTGTAAAGGGGGTTCTCCTAAAACTGATTCATCAATTATATGTCTTAAAAAGTTTTCGTAGTTAAATTCATCCGATGTTTTCGACTCCTTGAATTTCAATAGTTCTGGTTCAATCACTGCTAATTCCTCTTTCTCTCCCAATCTTTCACCTTTATAAATAATTTTTTTATTTTAAATTTATAAGGTTTTAATATTCATTTTCTCTTAATTACACATTATGATTTTTATTTTACATTGCAGCTTGGGATCCTAAAAAAAATATTTAAAAATGCCACTAGATAATTTTAAGGACTGCATTTATTACGCTAATAATGGCTGCCTAAATTAAAAATCAAATCTCCATGAATTGGAATTTTTTTTTAAACAACTTTAGGTGACATAATTTCTATAAATATTATACTTACTTTTTACAATAGATTCTTGCAAGTGCCTATTTTTTCCATATAATATTTTTTAATTATATTAACCCGACAAACCAGAATTAAAAATTAAAATAAACAAATTGATAATTATGCAACCCCCCCCCCCCTCACCCTCCTCCTTCTGAAATAAAGATGTAAGCAATGATTGTTTAATCTTATAGTACATACCTAAACTCTTCAAAAGATTTTTGAATTGATACAATGTGACCGTGCCAGTTTTAGTGTGATCAAAAAGGCTCATGCATCTTATAAACTCTTCGAAAGCTGTTGTGCTGTCTAATTCACCTTCAAGCTCATTAATTTCGTGAATTATGGCCAAAAACTTCTTGAAGTCTACCAATTTAAGTTCTGTAAATGCATGCATATACGTTTTAAATATATATTTTAATAAATATTATTTAAAAAGAATAATATCATAAGTCTAACTTTGATATGAAGGCTTAATGATTTCTATATCTTTTAGGCTAGGATTTTTTCCACAACCTCTAAAAGCTTCTTCTACATATTCCACCGGAATTGAACCGTCTTTCTATCATTTATGATATAATAATATTTTTGAGGGCATAAAATTCATTGATTTAAGTAATTTAACCAAATAAAGTTTGTAAATATAAGACGATCATTTGTAATAAATTAACGATAAAGAGCGAGATATTTAGAGGAAAGACTTAAAATTTTCCTATTTTTAATTTTGAGCTTAACCTGTAATGTGATGTTCTTGTTTCCGAATGGAAAAATTAATATTGAAGTATATTAGAAAGAAGCTCCATTGCCTATGGGTAAAAACTGGGAAAAAAATTAAAAGAATTATAGATTAACTTCCTTACCTATTACAACCTCAACAAATGAAAGGAATTTTTCAACTTTGTGACGTATAAAGGCATTTTATAAAGTACCACAAATTATTCTGCATACTTGAACATTATTTAGGTTATAAAATATTAGTAAATTTACATCGAAAAAAGGATGAATTAAGAAAGTTTTACCCCGTCCCCCCACCCCTTCACAACCAACTAATTGCAAAAGGTAATCATAAGGGAAATAAATATTACCTGACGCTGATAATATGAAAACACTTCACGAATTGATTCGTCGTTTTTATTTTTAGACATTAGAAGTAATAATTGTAACAATCAAATTGAATTTTAATAATAGCTTTCAATTAGAAATATATATTTATTTTATTATTCCTACTTTGGAGATTTTAAAATTGGATATATTAATTATTCATTATTATATAGTATTATTTATAGTTTGCTTTATTAAAATAAAAAAGGTTTATATATCACTCCGACTTAATATATAATAAAAAAACTAATATGTTTTGGTGGGACATTATTTTTTTTTTTAAAAAAGAATGTGTGAAGAAATTAAATTTTTTTAAAAAAATAAACTTATAAAACATTTTTAGTACAGTATAATAATACTTTTATAAAAACTTTAGAAAAAATTTATATCCATTCAACCATTTCAGAATTATGGAGATTTAAAACGAAGGCCTGATTCATAAAAAAAATTAACGGGAGGGATTGGGATAATGACATTTCTAGCATATCCATATTTTGCTTAATTGTTTTTAAAAAATTTTGCTATTATAATTTGACTTTTCCCTAATGTTTATTACATATCTAATAAATTTACGGAACGCGCTGAATGGACTCTAATTTATCACCTAATCGACATTCAAAGGGAAATCGAAAATAAATATCACAGCTGACCTAAAAATTTGGCAATCTAGCTGATGTAGCACAGTTATTCACATTGTCACAGATGAAAGACACAATTTGTCTGATTTTCTTTAGGTAAATTTACAAAAAATATGATTATGGATTTTCTTAAGGGTAAATTGTTCTAATATTAAACTGCATCATCTCATATTATATACTAGTAACAATGTAAGAAGATGTTCGAGGCAATGATAACTTTTAATCCCTCCCTCTAGATTGTCATGTTCAGGGAGTAAAATTGCTCACATTCCTTAACATTTTTGGAGCCTATGAAATAAATAGCTACTATAGATCAACAAATTTTATACAAACCTAATTTCATCGTCTTACAAAAATCTGGCATAATATGTTTTCGTCTGAAAAATTTAACATATTTTCAAAATAGCTTCTTTGTTATTTCCTAAATTTTATAGTAATTTTTTTTGAATTTAAACAATATGCATCTAATAATCATATGATTCAATTTTATTATAATGATGCATGATTTACATATATTATAATAATATTTCTTCGGTTTAATCGTCAATAATGATGTGAAAAAACGCAATAAATCAAACTATATTTTAACAAAAATTTTGAATTTTGAAGAATAAAGTAAAATTAATTTATTATCATAGTGTATTATGGTTTTTATACATATAAATTTAGATGTTTCATATTTATATAGTTTGATAAAACATAAAAATTTAATTATAGGAAACTTATTGTATTTTTAAAATTTTTATAATGATTCACAGTTACAGTTGATTAATCCATATTTAACTAGATAAAATTCTCTTCTTAAATAACTATTATTTAATTGTGGTTTCTAACTATTTTATATTGAATGATACACAATGAAAAAAAAGAAGTGTATTTCTTTAAAATTTTATTGTTAACTTAAATTTATCTTTATGCTTTTAGAATTTATTATTTTTAAATAATCTCATTTTCTGAAATAGAGGCATCCCGACCTAGACTTGGGTTCTCCAGGTTTTCTCGTTTCTACTATTCATCATCTTTGTACTACTTATATTCTAATGGTAGACGTCCACCTTGGGGAGTATGTACATTTATATAGATGGTTCTTTCTTTGCTCAGTGTCTATACATAAATGAGATTCCATATATCTTCAGGAAGGTAAAGGATAGGATTTTAAGGGGGTTTAAATAAATAAATGCTTGTAAATTTGGTTTAAAGCCCTCCAATAAAATACTATAGATGATTGAATATCCAGCACCCCCCCCCCCCATGCCTTAAGGAGACGTCCTGGCTACGTTTTGATTTTTCTATATTAAATGAATATCAATTTTCATAATACAAAAGAGGGTCAATTTTTGTGATTGACTATAAATATAGGACACGATTTTCAAATAGGAAGAGTAGAGGCCAGGGTAACATCTTTACTTTTGTCCATAGATTATATTGGAGGGATTTAGGCTCACTTACTGCTAAACCAGCGTCTACATGACAGAATTTTTAATGGATGCGAACACCCTCTAAAACATATACCTGTCATCCTAAAAAAAATTTACCGCCTTTGGTGACGATATTTCCACATTAATTATATCTTTTTAATTATAATGGTATTTCTTCATGAATATAAGTTTGCTGAAAACGGCTAACCCTTTAGTTTTAAAAATAATGTCTATGATTGTATGTAATATATAGATTTGAGCAATGTTTAGCATTATCATTGTATTGTAATAGATCTATAATAAAAATATTAATTTTTACAGCAATACATTTTGCCTTAACCCCCTACCCCCAAGTAATTTATCTTACTCCTGGCCTAACCCCCTTAATAGTCTATCTACCCTCTACCCCCCTCAATAAAATTGTAAGCAAACTGTTTCTACCCCTTCCGCTCATATAGCTGTGTAGGACTTTGGCAAGGTTACATTTTTTCAAAATATACCATTTTGAGAAAAGGAAAAATGAGGTTTAATAAGCCTTTTGTTAGTAAGACTTGATTTATAGGCTTTAATATATTTAATTTTAAATGGCAATTTTTTATTTAATTTTGATATGCTTTAGTTATCGCCTTTTGATCAAAAATAAACAGCCATTTCCCGAGGAGATCCTTCTCATGTGCTCGGATATAGCTGTGCTCAAATATAAAGGCTTTTATAATTATTATTACAAAACATTTAACAATCAATTTTTAAGCTTTCTGGGGTTATTAGTTTGAGAAAGTTGATATTTGTAAAATAATGCCTTTTCTTAATATAATAATACTTTAATACCTTAGTGTGTCGGTTTTTCCCTATTAGCTGAAAATATTTGACACTTTGCACTGGCTTACACCGAACTCTAAAAAACAAATATTCCGATCTTAACAATGCAATTTTAATGTTCATAATTTAAACACTTTGGGAATTCTGGGAAAAAAAATTAACAGTAGATATTGGAGATCTAAAAGAGCAATTTCATCTAATACAGAGCAGTGCCATGCCAAGACTTTTGGCGACTCAGGTCAAATAATAATTTGGCGGTCCCTAATCATGATTTACCTAAGCTTATTTGATGACTTTTCGCAATGAGAATTAAAAATATTAATCATAAATGAGTAAAGTAATTAACATTATAAAATTGAATATAGTCATAGACTAAAATATTGCGATTTTATTGAACCTCCTTGCCTTTTATATGCAAAGGAATATTATGTTAGTGTAATCTAATGATAAGACTATATCATTTTCTATTAAAATTAAGGAGAGATTAATAAGACATAATCATAGATAAGTTTTAATTAATTTTAGCAAGCTGCGTTCTGCGGATGATACGGTATTTGGAATAATTAAAATAATGTTTAATATAATGAATATATTTAGTAAAGCTTCATTAACCAATTAGTATTAATATAGATTAAAATTTCCTGTGGAGTTTTTAATTCAATTAATTGTTCTTGAGGATTAATATCGCATCCTGATCTGTTAAATATTTAACTGGCAAGATTTTTTTAACTTGCTTTCAGGCGCATTTATTTATTCTTGTAAATTGTATCGATCAAAAATGATCTTTTAAGAGCTTTAACTGATAAAAATGTTCCTCCAAAGAATTTCATCTTTGATCGAGTAATACATTGAAAAATTTAATCTTATATAATATATTATTATAAAACTCGGCCGTTAATTATTTTTGTTTAGCCCCCTGAGATTATAAAGTCTAGTGATCCTGATTTAAAGTGTACCCACCTGAAAGGTATATGTGTAACAAACGAAGACTATAGTGCAAACTTTTTTATTTTAAAATAGAGTCTACAAAAAAGTACTTTTATGAGAAAATAGACCAAATATTTAACAAAATAGTTTAATGGAAATAGTATTTTTTTAAAAAATAAATTTATTATATTTTTTATTTATGGATTATTTTTTTTTCTTTGACAATAGAAAATTTAAAAATTGTTTTTAAAGATTTGTTATAAATAGGAAAATAAAAAAAAATTTCAATAAAAAAATCAAATTTCTTAACCAAAAAAAATGATGTTTTTTAAACTATAATATATAAATTTTTTCTTATAAAACATATGTCTAGACATTCCAAACCTTTTTTCGAAATTCATACTTATTATAATCCAAATATTTTATATTCAATGATTCTACACAATCAAGATTAAAAGAAACAATTTAGATATTCAAGTTTTTCATTTACATATTATCCTAATAAGGTATAACTTTTAGGTCTCCCAACTTCCATTTTTAAAAAAAAAATTGATTCCCAATTTATAAAAGTAAATCTATAAATAATGTTACTCTATAAATGATTAATTTATTAGATTTTCAATGAACACTTTTACATATCAAATTAAACCCAATAACAATTTAAACTAGCAATATTATAATAGATCTTAATAGAAGAAACGTCTACATGACAGAAAATTAGTTTGAGGCAACCACCCCCCCGTCCCATCCTTCCTAATTTATACTTCCGTTAACTCCCCGAAATATCATGATTAAACTGTTATAAGCATCAAAATATAGGTTAGGAATAATAATTAAATATCAATTGGTGATGACTTTTTGTTTCGGAATCTAAATATTAGCTACGAGTGTATATAAATTTAAACTATATTAAATGGTATGTTAATAAATAATTTAAAATTATAATATCTTAATCTATAAATAATGTTTATTTTATTTTACTTTACCCCCTTTCGAGGCTTACAGCCCTAACCTCCCCTCCCCCCTCAAAAAATTAGAGTTCTGCCCTTTCCCCCGAGTAGTAGATGCCAAGTAGAAGTTATAAATCTATAACACAAGCTCTAATAAATTATATTTAAATTGAATAAAAACATTTATAAACACTTTTTAAAAATATTAGATAATTAGCATTTTTATTTAAAGGTCGATTTCTTTAAATTTAATTCGTAATGACTATATTCTAATCATAAAATATTATATAGCAAAAATAAAAACCCCATTCTATAAAAACGGAATTGAGACTACAAATTCCATATCACAAAACATGAATAATTATATTTTAAAATATTAATTAAAATTTTTTGTTTTAGAAAATAAATCGCTTATATTTCTTAAAAAATCAACGTCCTGCTTGACATGCCCAAGGGAAGAAATGATGATTGGTAAAAAAAAACATAATTAGTTAATTTAGAATATTTTTATTCTCGGTTATACCTACCGGATTGAAATTTAAGTTTTTACGAAATCACTATATATTGAAAATTACTTAATAATCTAGTAATAAATTTAGGATGGTAGTGCTAAACATCGACAAATCTATATATTGCATACGTCCTTATTTTTCATAAAACATATTTCTGGATAATTTAGTGCTATCTTTCAAAATTTAAATTAAAATGATTAGACTTAGCAACAATATATAATAATGCATATTAATATATTAATTGTAGTTTTATAAAATTGTATTCGTGTTCTTTTTGATAGTTGATAGTAGAGTACTGAAACTGATAGTTTGAGTTATTATTTTAAAATATATGAAGAGGGTACCATTATAATTAGAAACATGTACTGGCCTCCAAAGATAGCGAAATTTTTTTAGAGAGCAGGTATAAGTTCGTGAGAAGGGTATGCTTCCAGTGAATATCCTGCCATGTAGATGCTGCCTAGGTTAGGACTTGGTATTGCTTCCAACCATCCTTAACTATTACCACGAACACTATCACCATTTTGTAATAGTTAAATATTTTCCATGGAGGAGATTGATGAGAGCATTATAAAAATAATTTAGTTAAAAGTTCAATCCTTTTTCACATTCCCTTGAAAATTGCTAACCACCTCCATGAGCATTATGGAATGACTGGAAAAATTTATAATGTGATTAAGAAATATTTATAGAGTGAGATTTATAATGAATAAATTAATAGAATGAGTAATTAATTATCTTGTCGATAAATAGTTTATTTAACAATATGATATTGAAAAGAAAGTTTATGGAAAACATTTATTAAATAATAATACTATAATGAGACATTAGACTAATTAAATACAATTCATATAATTTAATAATTTATAAATGTTCTTTACATATTCTACCTGAAAATCTAGCCCCCCAAATAGCTATAAATTGATTTATATTTGTCACTCTTTAAGCCAAGGTTTGACTTGCTTAATTATTTCGCGGGAAAATGATAAAAGATATATTGAAAGTTGCGAAATTGACAGAGAATGCTAAAATACCTACAAAAGGTACTCCTGATTCTGCTGGCTATGATCTATACAGGTAAATTATACGAGCACATATGTTAAATTGTTTTAAATAAAGTGCGTATGAATACAATGTACCACCAAGAGGTAAATGTATAGTTAAGACAGATATTCAAATATCTTTACCTGATAATTGCTATGGTAGAGTAGGTAATATAATATTTATAATGAAAATTTAAATCATAATTTTGTTTAAGAAATCTGTAAATTTAACCTAAATGGAATAAATTAGACAATAATTAAGTTTTTACAATTCAAACATAATCTTATCAAATAATAAATAATCAGAGTTCAGCAGGGTCACCTCATATGGTCCAAAAATTACTAATATTATATTTTTCCTATTTTTTGTGTGATTGAATATTACAATTATAAGATAAATTTAAATAATAAAAGTTTTAAAAAATTAGCAGGTGGAAATATTTACTATTCACCAATAATATTTTTTCATACAATATCATCAAATTATTAGTCATTGCTGAATATTTTAATTTAATGCATAACATTAAAATAGAGAAATTAATATCTGGTATATGATTGTCTAATGTGAGGCAATAGAGCCGTAATTCCTTTTAAATTACATGGTAAAATTATTGATCTATTATATTATATGCTGGACATCAGGGTCAAGAAAAAATTTTGGGCTCATGAATATGTATTGTGGCCTGGTATGGGGATAGATATTGAAAATGTGTGTGACATTATAACATAAAAATAAAAGGATAAAAATATTTGAATTTATTAAAGTAATTTTGTATCATTGATAGCGATTTGATCATGTATCAGTGGACAGAATGGAATAATAAAAAATGTTTTTAATTTATATAGTTAAATGTGATATTGTCTTGAAATAATATCAATAACAGATTTTTGATAAGTGTAACATGTGTGAAGAAAAATCTTATTTATCTTAAACAATAGTAACTCACTGAAATATTTGAAATTGGTTAGAAGACTATATAAATTAAAGAATTAAAAAGTCAATCTTATGGCAACATAGGACATTTTGATTGGATTGTACTACAAAAGGAAAATTTTTTAAAAATTTTGTTTTAATTAAGAATTAAAATGTTAAAACATTTATTTTATTAAAATCATTTAAATAATACCATGTGTCATGGTATTTTAAGGTTCAATAATATAAAAGTTTTTGTGTAAATAAGTTTAAAAAAATATTTTTTTAAAAAATATTATGAGACATTGGTAAAATAAAATTTTTTGTAATATGTGATAAAAAAAACTAAATAAAATGTTGTTAAACATTAAAAAGACTTTACCCTTTGACATTATAAAATAACTAACAAATTTTTATTTAAAATAATTAATAAATTTATTTTATTTAGAAATATTTCATTCAAAATCCAATAATTCCAATCAAAATCATGAAAAATCACATAATGGTGTTTTTTAATTAATTATTGTATAAAATGTATAAATTTTTATATGATTAACATTTCAAATAATTAATCTTTCAATATATATATAAATCTAGCACTATTATTATTTTGAGAAACAAAATATTATATATATGATCACAATTTTTTTTATATTAAGTTTCAGATTGTAGCAATTTCCTCCATTTCACCAAGCTTTTATATTCACCTTTTCATGATCTTGTAAACTGGTATAGCTTGTTGTGACATCCATATGCATCTTTCCTTGATTCTGCCCACTTGTATAGCTTGTTATTGATTTCACAACCTTCATAATCATTGTAACTGTTCTGCAATAATGTATCAGGGGCAAAAATCGATTTCCATAGCATTTTTTCCTAGACTCCAATTCGTTTAGTCTATGATATCCTGTTGTGTTTTTCCAAAATTCACTTTCTTTTCTTTCTCTATATTATAGTCTTTGGAACAACCTTATATCTTGAGGTACCTCTAATTCAATATTTTTAAATCTTAAAATTTCTTGAGGCTATATTTGAAACCATCGATTCAAAAATTTAAAAATGACATTATAAATTATTTTTATTACAGTTATAAATTATTATACTTTACAAGCAAATCATTCCTCATTTTCCTTTTTTTAAACCATATAATGAACACATATTTTATTTGATTTTGATAATTGAAATATAAGATATAATTTTGAACAATTATTTATTATTTACACAAAAATGTCATTTTGTGGAACAATTAATGCCATTTTTAAAACATTGGCATCTCTTATTGTTGCAACTTTTTTGGCAATTGCAAATTGATTTACAATTACAATAAGATGCACTTTTTGATGTTGTTATTATGGAGTTGGTCTTATGGAATGGTTAAATTGGTAAATTTTATTGATTTATGAACGTTCGTTTTTAAAAATAAAGAATTAATTTTTCCCAAAATAATTCCAACCCCTCTCCATTTGGATAATTTCAGCTTCAATATTTTTAGGGCATAGATTTGATCTATCATTTTTATTTATTGGTATCAGTACGTGATTCCCAATGGATAATTTTATTTTTGTGAAAATTATCTTCCTTATTCCTATCTTTTAAATATGCAATAAACGAAGGCAGTCTAGCTAAAATATTTTAGATCTATCGCCTATTTAGTTTGTAGTATTTTTATCTTTCCTTAATATTGTTTTGCTTATTTTATAGTTCGTTCTCTCCGAATATTCAATATTGTAAAATGATTCATAGGAATTTCCCCTTTTTATTTTGTGAGCAATCATTATACCCTATGATAAAACCTTCAGCCACATCTTACAGCAAAATTTATACCCTGTGTTAATTTTTTTTTATCGAGATTAAAATAATTGTAAATTTAGGAAAAGAAAATTCCATATCATCATCATTTTACAGGGATATTACTTTGTCTATATGATCTTTACCAAAATTATCTTCATTATTAGGGGTGTACCGATACCACTTTTTGGAGGCCGATCCGATCCTATATTTCAGATATTTAATTGATATCGGCCGATAACCGATCCGATATCATATCTAATTTTGTATTCTGCAAAGATACCGGTTTTAATTTTTAATATACTTTTTATTAGTACAACATCTATAATTTTACTATACCATAACATATGTCATTTAAATATATTATAATGGTCAGTTATAGTTTATATTCAATTCAATTGCTATTATTTATATAATAAGTAATCTTAATCTATTTACATAATTAGTAATAAAAAATATATTATGAAATTTGAAATTAATATTTAAAATTAATATATCGAAGATTTCTTTTTATATCAGAGATATGTCGGCGGTGATGGGGACTGTTAATATCACTAGCATCACTAAAAACAGATACTGAAGAGATTAATGAACACTTTTTTAAACAGAATGCGAAAAAAATAACTATATTGCAGAATGTTTATTAACTAATTATTTCTATTAAAAAAATTAAACATAAAAATGTATTTCGATTTTATTTATAAAAATAAATGGTTTTTTAGATATAACTTTTTTTAAATTTTGTTAAAAGCGCCATTTTATATCGGATCGGAAAATTTTATAATATTTGCCGATAACCGATATTTTAAAATGAGCGAAATATCGGCTCGATCCGATCCGATATAAAATATCGGTATATCCCTATTCATTATCAATCTCTACTGTCGACATTTAAAATTTTTTAATTTTTTTGAAAAATATATTTTCAATGCATATTTTAGTAAATTTAAATTTCAAGATAAAATAAAAAGATTGATTTTGGAATTAACTATATAAAATTATTATAATAATTTTTGCAATTATTTTTAGTAGCTAGCAATCGCTATCGCAATTTTTAAAAAAAAGATAGCATGCTAAAGCTATCGATATTAAATGCAATTTAAATATTTCGGGTTCAGGATTGGAACCAAAAAAAAGATTTAAAAAAATCTTTTATTTTTATTCTTTTATATTTCTTAAAATTCTATCCAAGTGGAAATTTTGTTAATATGTTGAGGGCCTGGCTACTAAAGAAAGGTTAAGTTTAACGAGGTTTGTGTTTTGACAGAAAATTTATAAATATCCTAAATCTTAATTTATACTAAGGGAGATTTGGAATAAACGCATAAAAGAATGATTTTAATAAAATTAATTTTATATTATGTAGGCCAACCCCAACCATTAATATATTAAATTTCGACCTAACCATTAATATATTAAATTTCGATCTGTCTATAATTTTATGTGAAAGTTAATTTTAATAATATGCAGAATAAATATGTAGAATATATTTAGTGATAAATAACGGACTTCCCAAGTATTTTATAACCATATTCAATTTATATAATATGAAAATTTTATACAAATTCTGACCACCTAATTCTTAGACCCGACCATTTACTGCTATTTAATATTATATCTTTAGAGATTTTCTTTATCTTATGTTTGGTATTCATATCAAATTATTATTTTAAACACTCCCTCCACCGGACTTAATCCAACCCATTAAGAGACCAAGAGTGAGTACTATTATTTTAATAGAAAAATATTTTAATTAGCTTCTATTTTATAGTCATATCAATATTTTGTGTTGACAAAAAATTTCCTAGCCCTCCAAGACCTATAGCCCATTTAGAGTTTAATTATTATTACAATAAAAAAAATATTTTAATAACCTATTATTTGATATACTTATCAAAAAAATTATTTCTTAACACCCTCCTTAATCCCCCAGACCAATACCCATCAAGATCAATAATTAATACTTTCAGTCAAAGATACTTAAGTTAGCTTTTATTTGATAATTTTATGTTAAAAAATATTCCTGATCTCTCCAGGTCCTAGACCCGCCCATTTGAGTGATTATTAACAACAAAATATTTTAATTACCTTTTATTTGATACCCATATCAAAAAATTATTTTTTTGCCTCCCCCCCCCCATCACTATCCACTCTTTAGACTAAGTCAACCCATCAACACCAAGAATGAATACTTTCGATTAAAAGATATTTAAGTTAAATATTCCTGACCCCTCAAGACCTAGAGCCGCCCATGAGTGATTATTATTATTACAATAAAATAATTTAATTACCTTTTATTTGATATTCATATCAAAAAAAATTATATTTTGCCACCCCCATCCACCCTCCAGATCAAGTCATACCGATTAACACTAAGAATGAACACTTTCAATCAAAAGATATTTAAATTAGCTTTTATTTGATACCCATATCCATATTTTGTGTTGATAAAAAATTTTCTAATCCTCCAAGACGTAGACCCGCCCTCTATGAGTGATTATTATTACAAAGAAAATTAATATTTGATACCCATATCAAAAAAATGATTTTTTACCCCCCCCCTACCATGCACTCTCCCAGACCAAGTCATACCCAGAGTTGTTAAACGCTACCTTTAAAAGTAGCGCGCTACCGCTATCGCTATTTGTTAAAAAAAGTAGCGCGTTAACGCTATCGCTATTTGTCAAAAAAAGTAGTTCGCTATTAGCTACTTTTTATAAAAAAAATTTATAAACAAATTTTTTAATTTTTGCATCTAATGTTATTGTATAGTAAATAAATATATAAAAATCAACATTTATAAATATTAAAATATAGTTAGTTTTGATTATAAAAAAATTTATGTAATAAAAATAAATATTTATGGTAATTTGTTGCATTTTAATAATAAAATCATTTCAATATTATCATCCCCAAGTCTAGAGCGACGATCAGAAAGTATAAGTTTTGCCTTATTAAATAATCTCTCGACACTAGCACTTGAGGGTATTTAATCTTATATACATATTTGAAATATGAGATTATCAATTTATTTGCAAGTACATCGTATGTATGGCATCCTATTATCATTTTGAGAGATAATGCCACAGATCCTCTTTTTAAAGTTGGTAAATGATGGATTATCAACTAATAACATTGGCTGAACTGTAGAAATTATAAAATCAACAATAACTTTATCAGCCATTTTCTGAGAAATATTGTCATTTGCATTATTAATTAATTTGGTTTGAATTGAATTAGTCTTTTTGGATGTAGAGTCGCCTATACCAAAATTATTTAGATGTTTCTCCATTTCCTTAAAACTCATGAACAGTCTTATAAAATAAATATTATTAGAAGTAAAAATGACAATTTACCTTTAGGTTTTTCTTGAGGTTATAGCTACTGGATTGATTTGAGGAAATATTTTTTTTTACATTTTAAACAAATAAATTTGAAACCAGTTTTGCTTATATATTTATTTAAAAAAATTTTCAAATCTAGGGAATGGGAAATTTATATTATAGTTATTAAGAACATTTTCTTCCCTGGTATCTTTCATTTCATTAATATCATTGTCTGAATCACGTTCAACGATTTGGATATCCATAGGCGATGACATTTTAAATTATCAACACGTGATTAAGGTTTATAATACAAATGAAAATATAAATTACAAATTGAAATTATATTTCAATTTCAAAATTAAATAATAAATCATAAAAATTATAATTAATTATGATATTATATTTAAATTTTCATGTTTATACTTACCTTCATTATATTTTTTAAAAGTAGCGAAGTAGCGGCTACTTAACTACTTTCAAAAAAAGTACCGCGCTAAAAAATTAAATAATTACAAAAAAAGTAGCCGCTATTAGCTATAGCTACCAAAAAAGTTAGCGCGCTACTTTAACAACTCTGGTCATACCCATCAAGACCAAGAATGAAGAATTTCAGTCAAAAGATATTAAAATTAGCTATTATTTGATACCCATATCGATATTTTGTTTTGATAAAAATATTCCTCGCTCACCAGACCTAGACTCGCCCATTAAGGGGAAGAGACTGACCTCCAGTTGAATAGATATTTTGATTAGTTATCAATTGATACCCTATTTTAGACATATCTTATTTCATAAGGCCAAAAAATTAACATTGAAAATAAATAATAAATTTTTTTAAAAAACAAAGAAAACGCGTTTTAAATTAAGATTCTTCTTTATCATAGTTTAAACGTGATATTACCGTATAGTTCTTTACCCTTTAAAAAATTGATTTTTTTAAACCCGCGATGATCCCCGATAGTTCTGATCCCTCGACATATATATTAAAAGTTAATTATTTGAAATGTCAATCATATAAAATTTATATATTTTATATTAATTGATAAAAACATCATCATGTGATTTTTCATGATTTTGATTGAAATATTTTGAAATAAAAGAAATTATTGACATTTTAAATAATTAGTCTTTTAATATATATATATATATATCTACATATATTTCTACGATTACAACATCTTAGGTTAAGATTTCTTCTTTAAGCTTTTTTTAGAAGAAATTATTATCAGGTAGGCCAGGGCTAAAAAATTCTGAATTTGTAGGTCCTTAATTTAAATTTTAATAGATATCAGTAATTTGCACCCAGCCTAGTGTTGATTTCTAAAAAAAAATTAGGTCTAGTCCATGAATTCTTTACAAAAATATAATTATATTTTGTTGATCATTTTTTGACTATGGCCAGAATTTCACTATTTATAATAATTTCCAAATTGTTTGAAGGGAAAATTGGAAAATATTAGGCCTGCAGGTCCTTGATAAATATATTATATATATTTATTTTTAATAATTTTATTATTAAAGCCCCTAGATCAGGTTTAGCAGCAAAGCATGGAATCGATGTGGGTGCTGGTGTCATAGATAAAGATTATAGGGGAAATATTAGCGTTATATTATTTAATCATAGTGATCAACCTATGAATGGTAATAAAATATTTTAATTTATTATTGAATTTATAATAATAAGATCTTGTTCACACAACACTCTGTATTGTGTTAACTTGATAAAATAAAAGATGTTATTAGCGAGTAGTCTATATTCTACAAAGAAGTAAATTAGTACACTAAGATACAATTTAGTTGGTAGACTACTATGCCCTATAATGTGTTTTATAGCTGGTAGCTCACACCCTGTAAAGTGAAGTTGAACACCTTATGTAAATTTTGCAGGAAAATGATAAATTTAAAACTAAGTTAATCTTTTTGTTTGGTGGTTTATAATTTTACTGAGTTGTATATATGATAATTTTTGATTACACTGTACCATAATGATTATTAAAAAGTAGATTTATATGGTTCCAAGGCTAACTCAATAACTGAGCCACTAGTTTGTTATAAGAATTAGTAATTAAAAATGAACCGAATTTAATTTCAAATTGTAACAAAAATATTTGCCAACCTGACCCACAAAATATTTTTCCTGAAATAAAAAGTAGTTACAATAACTCAGTTTTGAGTTGGATTTGGTTTTGCAAACCTCTAATAAGAACATTAATTAGGGTTTTCATGATTAAATTAAATTGATTTAAATTATGATTAAAATCACTAATTTTTTGAATAAAAATCATGATTTAAATTAATTTTTTTATGTAAATTTAAATAATTATTAATTTTTACCTCATTTTACTATATTTTCCATGTGAGTTCCAATTAATTGTTAAATTTAATTATAAAAAAATTTCACATAATAAGAATCCTAGTATTGTTTATATTTAAGAAGATATAAGAAATCTATATATTTTAATGGCCCTTTAAATAAATATTGATATTTAATATTTTGATGCTAAGAAAGTTAATTCATATGCATAAAAATATTGGTTTAATTAAATATTGCTAACATTAAAAAAGAATTTATTTTAAATATACTAAGTAAGTATTATATTTTCTAAACATATTGGTTATTTTTATATGTTAAAATACATTTTAGTAAATTCAATGTTGTTTAACAATCGTTTATACATAAATTTCAAAGGGATTTAATTAAGATTATTTATTCTATAGAGCATTTAGAATAAATTTTTTTATTAAAAAATTTAATTTAAAAAAATCGTGACAAAAATTATAATTATGATAATACCAGACCCTGACCTGGAAATTTTTATTAATTTTAGGCCAAGCCTGGTTTGACCCAAAATAATTTTTAACTTAAGATATATAATTAGACCTACTTTATAAAGTAATGATCACTTATTGCTTTGTTATCACAGAAATTTGAATTAATTTATAAAGTGAACAAAAATTTCTTAAAAGTTCTAAATTCAATTTAATTTACTTAATATACATAATATGATATTTATCATGAAGGCCTGCCTTTGGAGCTTTATTTACATTGCATTACACATTTCAGCTCTAATAATGCAATAAATAATTATCTTTTTAAAACAATTTAACAAGACTATTAAACCAAATATGTGTCAAATTCATAATTTAGTTAGATTTACAATTTTTGTGATAATATAAGGAATGATTTAACTCTACTAGACCTACAAAAATACGAATCAAATAATGGAATTATTCGTATTCGTTTAAATCGAATATTTCATTATCGTATTCGTACGAATAATAAAATGATTATTCGATTCGATTCAATTCGAAAATTTTATTTAACCATAAATTAAAAAAGATAGAATATTTAATTTATTTTGTAAAATTTAACTATGGATAAACGACAAACAAATTTTATTAGTAAGATAATATCGAAGCATACCTATATAGTATATTTATATATAATGTAGAAAAATCAATATAATATTCATATCATGTAGAAGACAAATATACCAACAACAAATTTTTTAACCACAATGATTTTTCAAAAAGTCAAATATATGATTTCTCCATCATCAAACAAAGGCGAAATATCTGGTTCGCCCATCATTCTTGACGGGATAGCAACTAGTTATTTATAATTGTATATGTGTTATAAATTACATATAAAAAGAAATACTTTCTTCGTCCATCATAAAACAATTTCCGAAGTAATTTTATATTATGAATTATTCGAATAAAAACAGCCGTTAACAACATTTAGTAATATAAAATGTTTCTTCATTATTCCACTAGGAAATTTTATTAAATAGGAATAATTGCAAATAATTCCTACTAATAATATATGATTATTTTTCGATATTTATTAATATAAATTATTTTAATCGAATAATTCGATCGAATAATAGATAAAAAATTATTCGACGAATAATATATTTTCCTTATTCGAATTCGATTTGAATTTTCGAATCGAATAATTGTGTTATTCGTATTCGTAAAATACGAATCGAATATCGAAAACAAATAATTCGTTTTAGATATAAACTCTACCTTACACGTGTTGTCAGAGTCATGGCCTAATTTTTTAAAATAATTTTTTTTTAACAGGTTAAAAATTTATTTAATTTTTTACATAAACTATATAAAAGTGGAGAAAGGAAGTAGGATAGCTCAACTTATATGCGAAAAGATTTCTTATCCTACAATCGAAGAAGTTGAGGTAAAAAAATTCTGCATTTTTTTGATAATATATGTTAATTGTCACAATTATTCATATGATTTGTTCTAATAAAAATAATCATAAAAATTTCAAAAGTGTAAATAATAAATCCTCTAAATTCAATTACTCACAACAATTCTAAACATTTCACAACTGTTCTAACAACCTTTTAAAAATTTTAAATAGTTTGTGGTTTTTATAAAAGAGAATTCTTAATGTTGTTTTCCTATTTCAAACTCTGTTTATAACTATCATAATTAATTTTATATTTTTTTTATATTGCATAATTAATATTCACAAATATATTTTATCTGTTTATTTATATATATTTTATTTTTTTAACAGCGATTGGATATTACAGAAAGAAATGATAAGGGCTTTGGATCCACGGGTCTTAACTAATTTTACAAGATTCATATTTTTTAAATCTAATTCTTATACTTTAATTTTTAAAAAAAAAATTGACAGACTAGACTTTTATTATATAAATATAAAACTGTCACATTATTGGTGATTTTTAAAAAATTGTAAATATTGTACTGATTGCTTTAATAAAAAGCTATATATAAATATTTTTTGATTTAATTAGTTAAATATTTATTCTTAAATAGTATGCTACTTAAGGAAATAACATTTACTCAAAAAATAACAATTAATAAACTGAATGAAATCTTATATAATTTTCTTACCGATTTGAAAGTCCTTATGTTACAATTATATCTGAATCGTGTCAGGGATCCGGATTGTATCGAATATGGGTTCAGGTTTATGTTAAGATTAAAATAACGGATCATGATTCAGATTCCGTTTCCAAAAATAATAAAAAACCGATTCGAACCTTTTTGCTAAGCTTATTAGAATGATGTAAAGAAACCCCTATTTTTTAAAAATTTTATCACTATTCCCTAAAAATAATATCACTTTATAGATTCTCTTCTATCAAATAATATCTATAGACGAAAAAGAATAAATGTGTTGAGACTATTTAAATAACATTATGTAAGCCAAAAATATTTGCTCTTAGCTGGTAGAAATGCTTGGGCATCTATTTGCCAAATCTTGATGCTTACATATATTATTTTAGCTAAAGTCTATCGGGCTATTTTGAAAAATCGACGAAAATTGGGCTCTTTAACAACACTAGATGGCACCGTCAAATAGCAACTAAAAATACAACTAACCAAAACGGATATAGGGTAGGGTTAATTATATTCAAAAAAGAGTTTAATAAAATTTAGTAATTGTAAATGTTATTTGCTAAACAATGATCACAGCGATATTTTTCATACTCATTATATCTTAAAAATTCCTCCCTCCCCCTCCACATAAAAATGTTTACAATATATCACGATAAGGAAAAATTAGCAAAAGTATATAACTTTTTAAAATAAACACTATAATTCATAATTTTAGAAAAAAGTATTTTTATATAAAAAAAAGGGTCAAATTATTTTTATAAAAATCGAATATAGTTAAAGGCAGCACTAAGTGGATTCAAATAAAATTTTGGAGAATAACCTCACCTAATATCGCCCCCCCCTCAGCAAATTCATGAATATGCATATGTATGATTGACTTTTTTCACATCTTAACAATGGAAAATAAACGGTTTGTTATTTAAAAAGTGGGCTCATTTTTTATTTATTAATTGGTAAAATTTGTTGATTATTATATTATATGACACTAGAAAATACACGAATCTGATGATTTAACATTAAATTATTTTTAAAAATTTTTGAAATACATTAGAAGAAAGGCCAGGCTTTTGGAACAATTTATCAACTTTGTATCTTATATTTACAAACTAAATTCTCTTTTCTTTTATGAGTTAGATAGGAATAATATTTAATATTCGTTTGTAATTATATGATAATAAAGAAGTTTTCCACATTTCGGTTGATCCAAACATCGACGCCTTTGCAAGCGATTACAAATAATATGAGATTTTCAATAGGATTTTGACAGCCGAAGGAGGAAATGTTGCCTAAAATATTTTTAAAAAATAATTTATTTAAAAACCAAAGGGTTTACAAAGTTTTGTTAAAATGTTCAGCACCTTAATTGCATTTTGGCCCTGTGAATGTATCCTTCAAAATATATTTTAAGTATGGTTAGAGCTTCTCAATAAAGTGTTATAAAATATTACCAAATAATTATTAAAATATTGTAAAACATTAATATTTTATGATTATAAAATAATTAATAACTACAAAAAATTGATAAGAGAAAATTTAGTTGGTATTGGAATCAAATGTCTACAATAAGTTTATATTTCTAACCCACAAGCCACGTATTAAATTTTTTAAAGGTTAAAAGGCTAACCCGCTGGGCTATATATTTTAAAAAAAATATACTAAGCTATTTAAAAATCAAGGATCCATTTAAACCGAACCATTAAACAGATATTAATTTTATTATTATCCTAACCTGAACCGTTAAAAATTATGTCACATAATCTAAACCAAACCATTAAAAGGGTATGTAAACTGTTGAAATATTTTAATATCCTAGCTCTTTTATAGATTTTTGATAATTAGTTTTGCTTGATATGTATCAATAATTATTTTCGTATTTTGCTACACCAGTGGTAGTTACGCACTTGAACTTATAAAAATGTTCTTTTGTTAAAATTTTGATATATCCTTAATATAATTTGACAATGAAAAATCTTGAAAATTTTTAATTGTATATGGCTAAATATTTTCTAAGGAAACCTTGATGTTTAAAAAATGTGTCCACCTAATAATTCTAATAAGTTTGCATACGAAAGATTAAAACCGGGGTTTAAGGGTTATGAACCGAACTTGAACTGTTATTTTTTTCTAAAAATCGATATTTGTTACGGTTCAGATACCTGGGTTGATATATATTTGAAAATAATTATTCATAAAATTTGGTCATTGTTTAATATATTGCTATAATGATGAATCGTCTTTGATCATTAGCCATTAGTAGTTAAGTTTTAAAAAGTTTCATCATCAATCCATAGAAAAAATGAAGCTAAAATAACCTCAGCGAATAAAATAAATGGCGAGCCTTTGTCAAAAATAGTACCCACCTTTCTCTAGGTTTATACATTTAATTGGACATACTTTTTCTTAATGAATTTGCTAGTCTTTAACCAAACGTTGTAAGGGTTGATACGATGATAAGAACAAATATGTATTTATTAGTTTTTTTTAAGGATCTATGTAGCCTAGAATGCATTTATTTTGGGTTACTAAGATGGGGAAATAGGATAGGTGCCAGAAAATGACTAGGTATCAGTTTCAAAATGCAAACCATTTGTGTCTAAGATCTAAGTAAGATACCGTTCTAGTTTACTTCATATACTTTGTTTAAAATGTACAAAGCCTTTTTAAATTTGAGTTATTTTTATATTATATTTTCCATTTGCCGATATATACTCCAAATTTTAGAATACAACATTTTATGACAACTATTTCTGTAAATTTTAAATCAACTTTAAAAATCTGCCTAAATTTGTGACTATCTTTTAATGTTACAAATTTTTCGAAAATTTTAAACGATGTGTAAAAGGGGCGAGTCAAGCATTTTTTTATAGTGTATGATATTTAAAAATGTAGCATCAGTCGATTAACTTAGTTATCTATCATACTTTTATATTATAAGGAAAAAATTAAATGTCGATGCAGTTCATCCCGAAGGCCCGACCATCGGATTTGGCCAAAGATTTTCGAGCCAGATAAATTGTGCAAAATATTTTTACGAGCCGTGTCTGAGTTTTGAATACGTCATTAAAGCTGATATAATTAGGCAACTATTCCTTTCATATTAATACTAGCTGGGCTGTATGCCTTTCGCAAAATATTTTTTATGGGGTAAAAATAATTACGGCCTGAAAAACTTTATAAAATGTTTTCACGGGTCAGCCTGCCTGTGCAGACCTCTAAATAGAGAACATACCGTTATTGATAAAGAGAAGAAAAAAATTAAGTTGAATAAAAAAGTCTGTAAAATTATATAAACTAAGATTTGGGATTAGGTGTAAGGGGATTTAGTTTTATTGGTAATATAATATAAATTCTAAAAACAATCACGAAATATTCTCTAAGCACCTTACCCAATTATGAGATGTTTTCATTCCGCAGGGAATATACTAAACTGGATGGTGTCTCAAGCCAATCAATCATCAAAGCTCACAACAATATAAAATTGACGAATTATATTATAGCTAATTATGAAAATGACAGATTTTCAGAAAAGTATTCAAAAGTATGGGATAAAATCTCAATATAGAATTTAATCAACTCTATTCCAGAAAGTATAAAATTCGTTATTTAAGGAGAGGCGATCATTTAACTCAATTTTAAACCAAATTTATAAATTGGTAAGTATGATAGTCTTCTTTTATTTATAACACTTTTTAATTTTATAATAATTCAAAAACTGATTGTAGGAAAATAAGCATTTTAAAGTTTATATATTACCTGTTATGTATAGGATTGTATATAAAATATCCTATGAATATTAAACGCCTTCTATTATATAATTTTTCAACTGATTAATTAATAGAATTCAAAAGTTTATTTTGTAGACATCTGAATTAAATGTCTTGAGAAATTTTGGGCTTGTTTCCTTGCAAAAATATAGAAATATATCAATTTAATTCACAAACTTGAATGATATTATATAAAAAATTTAAGCCCGAAGCGGCCCAAAGTCTTTTAAATTATTATCCCCGACCCGAGCCTAAGCCCGTTTGGGCTAGACCGGGTCAGGTTTTACAGATCTCTAGTATATAACTTTAAAAAATCATTTTATTTTTGTAAAATTGGTATTAACATATAAAGTAAAAAAAAATTAATTAATCACTTTATAACAAAATTCAATATCATATACAAAGGTTATAATTAAAAATTTATTAATCACTTTATAAGAAATTCGATATTATATACAAAGGTTATAATTTAAAAAAAAAATATTTTAAACATTATACAAAATTGGTTTGTTCAATTTAAGAAATCATTAATAGGTCTAATTCATTGTTGCAGGACAATTAAATGCCTCTGAAAAACTTGGTACATATCTGAAATAAATATAAATAGATCACTTGTAGCAACAGTAATTCATAATAATATTTATACTTCAAGATATCTCCGAATAATTCCCCGGCATCCATTAGTTGATAATTCGTTGTATTAACCACGCATTGGTTCTAAAATTAAATATATTTTTAAAAAAAATGTTTTTTAAAACCCATCGAAAGTAGGTGAAATAAAAAAAAATTATCAAATAACTTGGATATATCTTAAGTAAAACAATTGCAACGTGGTAAAGTTATTCTGAGTATGTGTCAAAGGTGCGGACCTGGTTTGGACTATCTAAATTCGAATTCGCTTTTATAATATAGTTATGAAAAATATATTCTAATACTTGACTTGAGAGCCTGAGAGCTTCTACTTCTATTTTATATGCTTGAGGAATACTCGCATTCTGATAATTTTGTAAAAAATAAATAAAAGTATAGTGTTAAATGTAATAAAGTTTAAAAATGAATATTGAGCTA